GTTAAGTTTCAACCCATACTGATCAGGATAGAACTCAACATGCCGAATCAACTCATTGAGTGCCCTCGCTTTGGTTGAAAACAGAATGGTGTCGTCTGCGTAGTATACTGTGTCGAAGTTTAGATTAGGTATTCGTGCATTCCTTACGTAATTCGTGCAAGTTCGCTTCACATCGTGGTCTATGCATGTCATAACAAGGAGAAACAAATACGGAGACAAGGGGCACCCTTGTCTGATACCAGCAGATTGCGACTTAATAGTAGATGTACCGTACTGATCTTGTACGAAAAAGGTAGGATTAGAATACAAGTCTTTCACCACTTTAACGAATTTGTCCGAAAGACCCAATCGAATCATTGCTTCTTGCAGTTTACTGGGCTGAACTTTGTCAAATGCTTTTTCCCAATCTAAGTATATATATATATATACACACACACACTTAAGATCTGAATAGTGGCCGCTAGCTCTACCAGTGGTGGGGAGCCTTCTGAAGATTAAACGCCTCAAGCAAAGGCGAGAGGTTTGCGGCAATTTCTGAAGCCCATCCCTGAAACTGGAGACTGATACGTCTTGGTGCCGGCATAGTATCTGTCAGGCCTTGATGATTTGGTGACTAACAAAGTCAAGTGCATTTACGGTTGCGCTTCGTATTCATGGTTGGTCAGCAGCGAAAGGGCACGAGAATTGAGAATGGACCCAGACCAGCAGACGCAGGTTTACCAGATTTGCATGGGATAAGCCGTTACAAGACAACACAGAATCTGATGAAGCTTGTCTCTGGCTGTTGCCGCATTGGAGCTTGTGTCGGTCTAGTTATAGGGATAGTAGCTAGGCTAAGTCAGCTAAGTCGTGCTGTGTTAGGACAGGGCGGCAGGGCTGTTGTAGGTCCTCGGCGCATGCCTTTTTCAAAGGGCCTCTCTTTGCGCTCCAAAGCGCGCGCCTCAGAGGCGAAGAGCGTCGTCAGGGAGTCCACCCAACTCCTCAGCGAGACTGAGAGAGCAGAGAGAGCGGGTGCAGCGGCTCTCCCTCTGAGCGTCGTGGCCGCCACAAACTGCCTTAAGAGCCCGTCTTTAGGCTCCCCGACTTCTCCTCCATCCCAAGAGTCTTCGCCCAGCCTCGCGGACTCCGCAGTCGGCTGCACACCGGCACCGGCCCCTCCGAGGCCCCTGGGCCCCTCCGACTCCGTCGTTGGGGCTCCGGACCGGCGGCGCGCTTCTTGATCGAGGTGCCCTCCTCCTGTCGCAGGCAATCCGCTAGCCCGCGGCTCACTGCTCGCCGCTAGCCGCTAGCACCTTCTCCGTCGCCGCCAAGAACTGAGGGTCCTCAACAAACACTGACACTTCTAGAGTGCATTTTCTCATCACGGTAGTTCTGTACCGCGCTGCTCGCTCCTTGAAGCGGAGGGCTGTGAACCGGGCTCGCATGATGGCCTCCGCAGTTGCGCAGCGCGCCAGGCTGCCGAGAATGTGTGCGGGAGGCCCCGGCCAAGACTGCAAAGCAGAAGCAAACCCAAGGACATAGAGTTTAGACAGTCACGAGTGGTTCTCAACTGTCACGCCAAACGAAGGCACACTTCCACCTCCGGGGTGTCCGCACGCTCACCCTTCAAGATCTTGTCCACCATCTGCACGGGAGCAAAACGCAACTGACGATGGGAACCTGGTCACATCAAGCTTTTGCCGACGTATTTGCTGGCTACGGCTGGACCAGACTGTGCGAAGGCTGCAAGGTCGCCGCACACGCCGACACTTGCGGCACACCCACGTGCACATGCCGCTTGAACCACTCGCAGAGGCATGCATGATGCGGTTCTTAGCTTTGTTGCAACTCTGTGATTCTGTTGAGACGACACCAGCCGAACTCGCTTGGCTCGATACTCCCTGCCGAGACCCTAATCCTATAAAGCCTTAAAGCACTCTAAAGCCACCTGAAGCACCCTAAAAACCCTAAAAGCCCCCTAAAGGCCCCTCAAAGGCACCCTTTTTTACCGACCCCCCCCTCTAAAACCGCTTAAAGCACCTTAAAAACCACCCGAAAAGCCCCCTAAAGGCTCCTCAAAGGCACCCTTTTTACCGACCCCTCGGTCAGAGCCCAGTCAAGCCCCACAGCCTCAAAACCCTCCCAACCCTCTGAAACCCTTGGAAAACCCCTGAAACACCACATGGGCGGAAGCCGTTTCGGAGAAACGGAATTGCTGCGTTCTCCTGCCTGCCAGTCGTCGCCGTGGTCCTGGCAGACACTCGAATGCAGACTGTCCCCAACAGGAAAAAGGTGTAAGAAATTGGAAATGCGATTGCAATGGAGTGAGGACAAGAAATCGCTACGACGAGAATGAGGCGACAAAAACATGGGGGAGGATTCTGGAAATTGGGGGACTGGGGGGAAAACTGCGCTTATTGTAAGCATGGCCACTGTCGGCGGCACAGCCGGCAGGATGTGCGTGACAGGATGTTCCCGTTTGCTGAGACGACAGGACAGGCCCCGCTGATGCAGCCACTTCGTCGAGACTTGCTATGATAAGGCTGCTTCGCTCGACTCGTGCACTGAGTCGCCGACCTTTGAACGGAAACTCCAAGCACGAGTATTGGGTTTAACGATGAACGCTTTCAGTTCGACTGTCTAGGTCTCTCCGACACGATAGTTCCGGCTCAGTGTGGTCGCAACCACAACAGGTATGGCAACGCATGTTCAACATCCCCCAGGCTGAGCACCACAGATGCACTACGCACATCTCTTCTTCTGCTCTGTTCCCCGAAATCCCGAAACATTCGGGGTTTTCACATTCAGCGTTTTGATGGTTAACATAGCATCCATATCTTAGTGAGTCATAGAAGTTTCACAACGTCACGCCCTCATTGCATCTATTTGCGCTGGCACGTGTCAGCATGGTTCAGTCAGATGGCTTTGTATTCGTGTACGATATTTCTCGCATGTGTGCATACAGAGAAACACTACGTAGATGACTGAGAAAAGGCTGTGGACCCGGGCCTAACGGGATCAGAGAGCAAAAGGCCTTGCACACGCGGGGAGCGAGGGGGGAGCAAAAGCGAGGCAAACAACAGTAAGTGTGTCATTTTGTTGCTGCCTGTTCGCCCTGCCACCCCCCCAGGGCGCACAAATGAAAGAAGATGCACGCAAGTATTCACATCTGTTGCTGACAGATGTGAACACGCATCTCAACATGAAAAGTTCATAATAGCGACGGTCATTATGAGATACACCAAAGATGCATACCTAACCTACGTATACATGTGTACACACAAAAAACATCGCCGTGCATCCGCATCCGTACTTATATGTGTGTACGAGCCCAACCTGTATCATTTTGGATATGTGCTTGTGTAGATATATGCATGCAGCTGTATGTATATGCCAGTGCTGTCTTATCAACATGCTGTATGTTATGTGTCGGACATATTGGGTGGCGAAGTCGCAACAACATCAGGAAGCTGTGACTGATCAAAGACCCAAACCTAAGCGGGATATGATGCATGGCGACACCAAAATAATTTACTAAAGTGACTTGCCACAAATACCTCGGACTCTGGCACTAGATATTGGCCTTTGGATCTAGATCCTCCAAAGCAGATTCGAGTGGGAAAACAAACTGCAGACATGAGCGAGTGCCACGGAGAACCTTGACGGGGCTGAATGATGCCAAAAACATCCGAAAACCTAGCTTATGTTACTATCGAACGTTCTTCAACAGGAGTCAGGAGATCGTGCTCATAGAATGACTGGATCCCCTAAACTTTTTAAACCCCAGATCCATGGTGACTTCGCACATGTTTATACTTCTGTCTGGTGGTCTACATATCAATATACTTGCCCGTGGATTCAAGTTAGGTTTCGTGTATGGGCAGGGCCCCCTTATGGGAGGAGCCCTAGTCTACGGTAAGATACATGTCAAACACATGTGTGACCGTCAAGCGCCGTTGGCACGAAAAGTGAGAAAATGTGTCTGTGTAGGGTCTTTCTGTTTAACTTGGCAGCCGAACGCGCCTGAAGATCCAGGAAGGCAGTGGATCAGTTGGCATACCGCGACTTCTCAGAAGAAGACCCCCAACATGAACATCAAGGACCTAGTCGCAGCCCATTTGCCTTCAAGAGGAAGAGCAAGTTGTATGGGGACGACCCAAGGTATGGAGGAACAGATTCTCGAAGCACCTACTGCCAGTGCTATGGAATTGGACAGCAATCAAGAACATGTTTGGGGAAGATGGAGAGAAGACCGGATCCGGTGCTCGGATCGACATGAGAAGGAGCAGCACACAAGAAGCCACACATAAATCCAAGAACAATTACAGCAGTACACGCTTCGAGGTGACGCCAAACAAAAGTGCAAATCTTTTCACGGATCCACTTAGGGCTTCGGTATGCCGCAGTCATGTGTACAAAGGGCAGGGACAAACTTGTTGCACCCCGCCTCGACAAGAGGTGCACTTGCAGGCACCTTTGTCGCTTTGGAGAAAGCAAAAGCTGAGGTCACCCACCGCGGCCCATACAGGTCAAACACGGAGTATAGGTCTTGAAAGAAGTCCTACGAACGTTGCCGCATGTCGGTAGGTGATACCTCTCGCCTCGACTGGACGTTACTGCAATCTCAGGTGGAACAGTCTGTGCATGTTCTGCCTGGTCCAGCCGGGCCCTTAACTGAAAATTCTCGGCACGGAGCTCCCGAACAGTTTGTTCGAAGTCTTCGATCTCACGGCAACGCTCACTCAAAGTTGCACGCAACTCTGTACAACGGTTCACATACTCATCTGCAAACATTGCCTCGGCTTTGCTCATTCCTCGGTCCGCCTGGACTCCTTTGCTTGCTCTCAAGCTCTGAGCTCCGGCCTCTGTATCATCATCGCTTTCCCCGCCTCGGGCACGGAAAAGGCCGAGGCTCCACGTAAGTAGCCCCAGCATGCCCAGAGGAATGCCATAAACCACCATCATTCCAAACACCACCAAACCAATCGTCGCAGCCATTGCCACCAGCCATTCCTCATCATAGAGGGCAATTGCAGGAAGCATCAGGCTCAAGCCCTGGGACTCCTCGATCTGGGTGAGGAGGAGAATCAGTGGAACAAGGCTCTTGACTCGTCCAACCTTAGCACTGTTCCCCCTCATCTCCTTCATCATCTTTGCCACTTGCCTCTTTCCTCGCGCCGTCTCATAGTCGACTTCGCCGTAGGGGCTGCCATCTGCCTCGACGCAACCCATGGCAAACAGAAGTTCACGGACTCGGGGTCCAGCAAGTGTTCCCAGCTGCGGTGTTCTCGGCACCGCATATCGAGGCTATTGCCAGGACCTTGTTTCGAACTGCTTGTTGTACCCAAAAGAACGGCACACTGCAAATGCCTCACGCGCCCGGCCCCCAAGCGCTGGCATATTCCGCGGCAAGCAGCCGAATCACTTCGGCAGATCACCCTCACTTCCGCAGTCCCAGCCAGGATGAAGCGGAGGACGTCCGAGACATAGATTGCCTCCGCTGCTCCTCCCACTAGGGCTAGGTACTCGGACTCGGCCGAGCTCAGTGCGATAGATCGCTGGGATCTAACCACACTGCCCACAAAGCTCCCGCCGATGAACAGCTGGATTGAGCTTCGGCTTCTTCGCGTCTTTCGACAACCAGCCCAGTCGGCGTCAGTAATGCATTCGACTTCATACACCATCTCATCACCATCCGGAGTTCCACGCCATTGAAGCCTGGCCCGGGAGACAACGGGTCGGATGAGGAAGCCTATGTCCGGGACCGCTGCCAGGTACCCAATCACACGCATGAGCTTCTTGAAGGCCCCCGCCGTTGGCTTGGACATGCTGCTGCTCAGCACACAAACCGCCATTTGAATGTCCGGTCTCGAATGGGAAAGGTAGAGCAACCGCCCCACACTTTCCTTGAACACCTTGGCCTTGAGACCCTCAAGCTCCTTTGTGTCGTCGGCCTCTTGAAAAGTGGCATCAGCTGGGCTGTCCCGGTGCTTCAGTCCTTTCCCAGCTGCTTTGAGCAAATACTTTCATTGGAGTACACGGCCACCCCGTTCCCCACATGAACATAGCGCCTCTTGAGGAACTGAAAGGAGTCACCTTCCCGACCATTGGCTCGCCAACCTGAACCGTAACCTTGCTCCCAAAGACCTTTATGATCTCCTCTCGTTCGTCTGCAGCGGAAGCAAGGAGGCCGTCGTCGGCGTGGAGGATCATGGCGCTCTTGTTCTCGGGGCTCTTGTGCTTGAAGACCGTGGGCTCCTTGGGGTAGCTCTCGAGGTCGGCCTCTGTGAGGATGCCCTTCGCCAACTCAAACCAAGCACTGGCTCCAATCCTCTGTCCTGGCAAAAGCTTATCCAGCACTAGGGTCACGGTGCCTTCTGCGCCTTCCTGGAAGAGTATGCATATCGGGCTAAGGCGGGGACCCCCCAAACCCCAGGATCAAAATGGGCAAGGGTTGGTGCAGGGTTCGGTTCTGGAGGCTGTTTTGGAAACACAGCTTACATTGTCCTTCCAACATCAGGTTTGACACTGTGTTTCGCGGGTAAAGACAACTTCTTTTCTTGTTTCGGTGTAAAATGTCTGGTTTCCGGTCGTTGGCAGATCTTGTCTTAGTGGGCACTTGGCAAAAACCATGATTTTGAAGCTGATGGGGTTGATCTGTCCAAAGACTTGAAAATGGCTGAAATCAGAACTGAAGCACACACTCTGGTCCAACTTCTAATGTTGGGCTCCTGAATTGGGCCTAA